ATTGAATGGCTTAAGGTGGAATCCATCACAATCAAATGCAAAAATCACAAAAAAAGAATGGAAAATTATTTATTATGGTTAAATAACAAAATTAGCTAAGAAAAATTAAATCAAACGAAACCAAGACTATAAATTCTTCCAAATTATTAAGCTTTCATGATTTTATCCTAGAAATTCATTGAAATTTGTCCACAATTCCCGTGAAAACATATCAAGGCAAATTATCATGTAAAAGGGATCCAATTGCAAACATTAATCAATCATGTGTTACAACATTTAAGCACTTCGAAAATCCCAAAAATAATAAGAGGCCAAATAACGGTTCAAGTTGCAATCAATTTAGGACTTAATTGCAAGAGATTGGAATGTAATTGGGCCATAGTGGCATTACTAGAGACTAGAGGGAGCAAAAAATAATTTTTCTTTTTTCCTGCATGCATACGTAGAAGCTTAAGCTTCTGCAACTGAAAAATGAAGGCTGCTCCATCCGTTTCCAGCATACAAACAAGTGTATCATCATACAAACAAGGCAATTTCCAGCCAGCGACTCCATCCGTTTCATCATACAAACAAGTGTATCAAACCAGAAATTGCTGACTAAATCAAAACGTGAAAATTGTTTGCATGATTCAAACAAGGAACTGGAATTGACCGAAAGGAAAAGGAAAAAATGCAGCGAAGTTTCAGCAAGTCAGGAAGCTTTCGGCAATTGAGAATGAATCAGGATTTTTCCAACCAAGCATCAAAAGCTTTGGATTACGGCAAAAGCCACAACAATACTACAACTCAAACAATCAACAAAACATAGAAAGAAACAATGCAAGCTCTTAAAATTTTATGCAGGCCTGCTGCAACAACCCGCTGCATTTTCAGTTAGCCAAAAGTGATTGTGCGATGGGAGAGGAGAATGAACTAATGTGGGCTCGTGTGGACTTGGGATAGTGAGAAGGATAAATGCAGCTCTATGATCTAAGCAACATGACACACAATTCCAACATCCCAACAAACCAAAACATAGAGGGAGAATCACACAAATGCTAGAGCAAGATTGCAGCAAGCATTCGGCAACCAGATTCGTTCATTTTCTAGCAAAGTGTTTGATCAGTAGTTCAAGTGTTTCAGACTTTCAAACATATAAACTCAACACCCAACCTTCCATTTCCTCCCCCCAACACAAGATAAACTGAAGTGCAAAACTCAACTAGTAACTAAGGAGAAGGAAACACGGCAGGGAAAATAAAAATGCAGCAGCTTCTCCTTGCTGCGTTTTTGAAGAGAATGACTCTTAAATAACTTGGCAACTTCAGCAATTTCATACCATGAGTTTCCAACAAACCTTCAGATTCAAAATACATCAGAAATGACACATACTCATGCTAAACTCTGACCCAAACAAACCAGAAACAAGTCGCAAACATCAAAACATTTCTGCATTTTCTAATTGTAACATTGCCGCAGCTTCATCATTCAGCTAGGATGCCTATACGAAACGAATCAAACAAGTTCTACTGATATCCTTAAACAAACCCAGATGCTATGATCCTCATACCAGCCCACTAGAAAATGACTCAATGTATCTAAGAGGCAAAAACGTGAAACAAAGGAAAGGGGAGACGCCGTGTGAGCTTTTGAGCTCCAATGCACGACAACAACCTGACCCTTTACCCAACTTCAACTCAAAATTCAGGAATAACAAAGACAGTGAATCAGCAAGTGCGCATGAAAGGGGGCCAATAACTCATGTCCCTGATTCCCACCAAAAAGGTTATAAACATGACTTTGGGAAAGCGAAAATGCCCACGAAATGCAAGGAAACAACAGGGAAGAGAAAAAAAATTCTTTCGGATCATTTTTCTACTTCGTGCGTCTGGGGAAATAACATGATGAAGCAGCCATCAACCCAAAGGCAGACTTCTACATGAACAGATGCGACTCATAGGAAACAGACAACGGTCATGCAAATCTGGTAAAACAAACATCAACCAAAACAACGGGAGTAGAAAGCAACGGGAAAACCAATGGAACTTCAAAAAAAGTGAAAGAAAACTTAATCAAGAAAACAACAATGGCAAATCTAGCCTAACTCACTCTCATGGAACACAGCCCTTCTACTCCCCTGAACCCAACCCTATTCACTGCTTTCCAGATGCACACGCGTGGAAGGTGAAACAAGTGTAAAAGGGAAAGAATTGCAGCACTCTAACATGATCGAGTAACCCATAAGCAACTTCCAGGTTGAAAAATGTTACCTTTGGCTTTAACCGAAGCTTCGATGTAACCGAAAGATGAAGGCTTTGCTCTCCTTCCTTCCCGGCAACCAGCTTCTCTGGCTTTCCTCCGCCGTTGCCTCCTAGTTCTCTGCTTTTCTCAGCCGAAGTCCTCCCCTCAATCGTCCTTTTTCTTTTCCCTTTGCTCTGTTATTTCTTACTCTCCGCCGTTATCCCCCTTAGCTCTCCCTCAAACTCTCCGTAGCTTTTCAGGTTTTCTACCGCCGCTCACTCAAAAACCCCCCCGTAGTCTTTTCTTTCTACAGCCGTCAACTCCAATCCTCAAACTCTCCCCGCAACTCTTCTGTTTTTTCGTCCCAGGATTTTCCTGCAATTTCCTACCGCCGCCAACTCAAAAGCCTCCCCCTTTCTCTCGGCTGTTGCTTCCCTTTTATATGGAACCCAAGGCTCCTAAACCCTCACCCCAATGGTGAGGATGAAAGGCTTGCTCTACCTTAAAATCCAGCCCTCCGATGGGCATGCACGGCTGTCCTTGCAAGCTGCGAAAATACGCAGCTTGCATGCCGCGGCTTTGTTTTTTTTTTTTTAATGATAATTTAACAAAATATGGATAACTAATTAATAACTAATGAAGAAAAGATTGAATACAATGAGCCGAATTAGGCAAAGAAAAAAAAGACAAAAAGACAAAAATGAAATGCTAATTTTCCTTTCTTTTTCTTTTTAAAGTAATTTAACAAAATGATAATGAAATTAAGTAAAAAAACAACAATTTAACTAACATCGGATAAAAATAAATAAACTAGAAATAATAAACAACGAAGTTGTAATTTTCATTTTGATCATTTTTTTCTTTTTCTTTTTTTCTTTTTTCCAAATAAACCCATCAACAAATTAAGAAAACATGACTAAAATAAACAAATACTAAAAAATAAAAAAAAATTGCTAATCTTAATAATAAAAAATCTTTTGATTGATGATTTTCTTTTTCGATTAAAAACACTAAAAGAAATGAAACTTATCCCCTTTTTTATGAAACTTTCTCCTTTTTGACAATTTTTAGGCTAAAGTCTTACAATAATAATAATAATAAAATAATAACACACACAAAAAAAACAAAACAGTTAAAAGGACCAAACTAATGCGAATTTATTTTTATATTACTTTGGGTTTGCAGTTATTGCTGACACAAAGAAGCAGTAGGTTTGGTATTGTGGTCGTTGGGCTCAGAGATGCGTTGGTATTACCGTTTCGGCAGATCTTTCCAATTTACATTGGACCCTTTATTGTATTTTGGAGTTTGTCTTTTTATTTTTTTAGGGGTATATTGGTAATGTGGGACTTGTCACCTCTGGTTTCATTAACCGGAAATCAGCATTTCATTGGAAAGATGGACACGCCCACCTCCGTAAGTGAGCTTCCGTACATTCTTGCCTGGGTTTCCCCATTCTTTGCTGGGTTTTAAGTGATTGTCATGATGGAAGGGGTTACTTTTGGGTGTTCATTTGTTATTAGCTGACATGTCATGTTGGTGGATATTTTGCTTTTTGGTTCTTCTTGTTCGTCTTCTTCGACGTTTGAGGTGAGCTCTTTTCCATTTTTATTAAACTATTTTTCCTTTCCTAGCTTTATATTTGTTTTGATTGTAGTTTTAGCTCTTAAACGAGCTTATGCATGCTTGCTAAATGTAAATTACTATTTTCATGTACTACGCCTAATTGTTTCCTGCATTAGTTTTTTTTGCTTATATTGCTGTCTCGACTTTCAAATGCATTCATGGAAAGCTTGCTGAATATACGTTAGTGTAATTCAATTGTTTTTTTTGTTTAGATTTTTTTGTCCATTTGCTATGTTTTTTGTTCTGTTTGGCCTTCTTCTTCGATTTCACAACTCGAATGTGTTCCCTCTATTGTTCGTGGCAGAAAAATAAACAATTCACTGACCAAATTGGTTTGTTAGATTTTTGGCTCATTTTTAGCATTATTTATTTTTTGTTGCAGTTTACTCTTTAAAATTACCTGATTCAGTGCTTGCCGCAGTTGTTGCTGAATTACTTAATTTTTTAGCTCCGTTTTTGTATTTTCAGTACCTTTTTTGTGTTATTGGTGGGTTGTCCTCTCTATGTTATTATCATTTTTGCTTTACTGTGTGTTACTCTTTATTATTCTGTATAACTTTTCTGTTTGTTTGCTACTAGTTAGTACACTGTTGACTCTTTTAGCCTTGCTTTGAGTAAATTTTACACTTCCTCGACTTCATTTTTATTATGCAGCTTGTTTTTGGCTCCTTCATCTCATTTGTGGTTTTTCTTTGGTGCGGTTTTTGCTTCAGGTATTTAATCTAGCACATTCCTTTTTTTAAAAAATGCAGTTATTCCTATTTTGCCTGTTACAGCATGGTGGTTGAGCTTTTTCCTCTTGATGTTGAACTCCATTTAGTTTACTTACTTTAGTATCTCTATAATCTTAGCTCAAAGCCATGCTTGTTGACTGGGCATGTAAGCAGTCTATACTCACACTGCGCGTCGCTCGGCGAACTCCTCCTAGTTATTAACATATAGGCAAAAGAGCCTTCAGCTTCTTGAAGTTTTCATCGTCCTAGGCATTGGCGTGCACGTGCTTCTCTTTTTTATTTATTAACATATAGTCAAAAAAAGGCTTCGGCCTCTTCAACTTTCATCGTCCTTGGATGCTGTCTTGCAAGTGCTTCCTTTATTGTGATTGTCCATACACGCTTTTCAGTAAAATTGCTGTTTGCTAGCCTACTTTTTTTTTTTTTTAAACATTTTGGTAAACCAAACAGCGTCATATTCCTCTTTCTTTCTGGTTTTCAGACGTAGCAGCATCATGGAACTCTGGAAGACCAGTTCTATTGCTTTTGTCCTCTAGACAAAACTCCACCTTCATGAGACCCGAAGATCTCTCCTCAATTTTTGGTGTTTGATTGTACCTGCAAGGGGTTGCAATCGCAATTGGAGGGTCCAGAGTTTTTTCTTTTGAGAAGTTGTTGTTTAGAATTTGATGGATGATGGGTTCAAGACAGAAAAGGAGCAGGTAATCTTCTTCCCCTTCCACTCTCGGTTTCTCTCATTTCTCCCTCCTATTCTTCTTCATCTCCCTCCCTCCCTCCCTCCCTCGAGTAATTAGGGCCAATTTTTTCTGTTTTTCTCTCATTTTTCCTGATATTTCCTTTTTTCCCTCCTTTGTGTCCTTTTCTGAAAGGACAACAAAAGCAAAGGTCAATATTTCATCTTCACTATCTAATGTGAATTTCTGGAATGCATATATGGTATTTTTCTTCCCTTTTTTCCCATCATTAATGTCTCTGTTTCATTTCCATTATATCAGTGATTTTGTTTTTTAAATTTTTTGGATCTCTCGATCTCTCTGACTAGAAGACAAACTTTTAATATGGTTTGATATGATGAATAATTGATGATTAGTTAGCTTTTAGATATTTATTTACTTTTTCTTTGGCTTTTTCGTTCTTGCCTTTCTTGGATTTCTTCTGCAACAGGAAGGAAAAATGGCTATCTATGAAAGACAACTGGTGAGGGAAAATGTAAGTTTTGTTTTATCATTCTGAGGGTTTTTTTTTTTTTTTTTTTAAATTGCTATCTTCAGACCTCAAATGATGGGATGTTTTTCTTGTTAGTCATTTTCTTTTGGCCTTTGCTCTTTTCAAACCTCATTTGAGTTTTCCTTTTAATCATTTTTTGGGTGTCTTTCATGCAAGTATTCTATTGATCTCTTGCTGAGAAAAAGCAATCAATATGGTAACTAGAGAGATTCGTTTGTTTAAAACAGATTTCTTCATCTTTGTAAATAAATTTTGTTTAAAAGCGATCCATATTTTTGGTATTTCATTTGAAGATCGAGGGAGATTATGTTCCGTACCAGCCAGTGTTTTCTTCATCTTTTTAGAAAGGTACTCCCGTCCATCTCTCTCATGCTCTGTCCATTTTCATTCCTTAATTGATGATTGTCCCAGTCAGCTGAACGATTTTTCGGGATTTTTTGAAATTATTCTTTTTTGATATTTTTTGGTGTTATATGTTGCTACCGTATGATTATAGGAAATGTCTTGTGGTGTATTGGAAAGGATTGACAATAATATCATTTTTTTTCTAATTAAAAAAAAGAATTAAACTTCTCTCTGTTGAAATGGTGTTACTCATATGTAGTCTATGGGTATGAAATCTGTTTAGGATTTCTGTCTTTATTAATTGATGGTGTTCATGTTGCCGTTGAATGAGGTCGTATCTGTCAAAAAATTTAGCAACTTTATATTTCCTATATAATTCAATCATCAATGTTTTTCATTTGTTACCAAGATTATGATTGGCGTAGCTGAACAAGTGTACTCAGTATTCCTATTAAGTTTCTTCTTCTTCTAGGTGAAACAGATTTTAATATTTCAAGAAGATAAAGCTCTCCATTCTTGTGATTTAATAATAATTAACTCTTGCCTTCTGGACTGCTTACAGATTTATGTCACTAGATTTATTCCCTATATTGGAAGGCAATAAATTTTTTGCTTCTTTCATGGATGTATGCTTACTATTGTTTTAAGTGGTGGTATTTTAATCTCTATTTGTTATGTCCTGTCTACTGTAATTCAAATGAAAGATCATATTCTTAATTTTATGTTTCTCAGATACAATTGGAATCTTTCAGGTTTTGAGTCTGGACTAGAGGTTGGAGTTTTTCGTATCAAACTGGGCTTTTTTTTGTTTTTGTTGGTTTTGATAAATTTTTTTTATTTTATTTTTCCCATACTTTTTTTTGCACCTGGAGCTGGATGCTCTGATGCTTTTGCTCTGCAAGTTGGAGCAAGTTGGTTTTTGCTCCCTGCTGTTTATTTTAGAAACACGCAGCTATCATTCATTCTCTTGTCCTCTATACAAAGTGTTTATTATACTTACGTCTGGTTAAATTTAGCCTTCTAGGAGAAGTCATTGCTTGATCATGTTGTATTTAGTAGTAAGCCATTAGGCTATAGTGCTTTTGAGGTTAGAAATACTCTAATCTATTGGTGTTTGACCTATGCTCTTTTTGTCTGTAGCCCATCTGCCAAGGACTGCAAACTTTGTCTGAGGCATGTTTGTGCTATCTTTTACATCTCATATTCCGTATAAAAGTTATTAATTTTTGGCTTCCAGGTTTTTTATCCCTATATCGTGTCCTTCATTCCCTTTTGCTGTTCTTTTTTCTGTTTTAATGCCTTTGCTCAGATTCTCCTACTCTTTTTGTAAATTTTTCACTTAATTTGTGTGCTTTCTACGCCTACTTCAAATTTAATTGCCTACACTTTCCCAATGTTTTAGTTATAATTACTAGATATTGATTACAAATGCTACAAATAAATTAGATGGTGATTGGTTACTGGTAATTGCCTATTGACCTTTTAATTTGGACCTTGCAAAATGAGACTAACATCTGCTACTTCGGCTGAAACATGTATTCGAAAGAGAAAATAAAAAACCTATATTACTAAAAACATATTTAGGCCACATGGAAATTGGAGTTTGCCAGTTGAAATATGTTTTTTTTTTTCTGTTTTATTTTGTTATCTTCCATTACTCTTTGTCTTCTTATAGTATGCTTTTATATTTTATCCTATGGTTTCAGTAAAGTGCAGCCTGGTTATAACGCACCCATGTACAAAAAATTAATTCTTTGTCATGTTGTGTTTATTAGAATGCAATTTTTTTTTTTTCCGAAACAATAATTGGTTGTATTACTTGACAAAAGATTTACAAGTACGAGCAAAGGCTCGAATGAACTTCACAAGCGGCTTTACTTGCCACTAAGGAAACCAATGTTCCTCATCTAAAATAATGCCCAAGGCATAGTTACTAAGCTTAGTGCTTAGTTGATTGTTATCACTATGAACTAGACAAAAGGAGCACTTATGAAACAAATCTCTGAGTTGTAAAATATCGTCCACAACAGTAGCTAATCTGATATCGCTTACGCCTGCTGTTCGAACCTGATTGAGGAGCTGTCGGTTTGGCACTTGGAATTGCACATCCCTGAATTGCAAAGTCGCAGCTTTACACATTGCTAGCTTCAGTGCAGTTGCTTCGTCTAGCAGTCCTGAACCTGAACTGCTTTCTCGTAGTGTCCAACCTCTTTTTGCACCTTGATTTCCTTCCTGCAAAGTAATCCCAATACCGAAGCAAGACTTTGTCATATCTCTAGTTATTCCTATCCTCAATATCAAGCACCCGTGTTCCGGATTTAGCTGCTGAATCTGTTGATGTAGAGCTTCTGTTTCATCTGTGCTCATACTAGTTCCATTCCTATCTATTTCCCCAAGTTCTAACCATTCCTGGTGCGCCTTCTGAATTGTCTTCCAGGGATGACTTTTCTTACCATTGAACTCCACCTCATTTCTATCTTTCCATATCTGCCAGAGAATATGAACTGATAGAGCAATATGTTGCCATCCTTCTGGTCTGGTTCTTGCATCTGAAATTTCGATCCACCATCTTCTGAAACAGCCTTGGTGTTCCATCATACCTTCCCATTGGATGGGGGCTAGCTTCCATGTCTGTTTAACTTCGCTGCAATTCAAAAGGGTTTGTTCAATAGTTTCCCTGTCTTCTCCACATCTGTTGCAAGTGGGATCACCTGCTTTAATTCTACGATATATGATGTCTCGCACTGGCAGTGCATTGTTGAGGCATTTCCATAAGAAAACCTTCTGTTTCTGCTTCACCTTCAGTTTCCATAAGTCCTTCCATAACCTTTGGGATTGATTTTCCAGACTTGTAGAACCCTCCAGCTGATTCCTTTGCTGCAAGGTATCTTTGTTCATAATCAGTAGCTTGTACCCTGAGCTGACTGAATAATGGCCACCAGCCCCTTTTATCCAAAAATTTGTGTCCTCCTTTCCTGCTAAACTAACAGGGATTGTCATATTAGAATGCCATTTGGCTGTAGTTTTTTTAGAAAATAGAAGTGTTCTTTTTGGTTGGTGCTTTATACATGCTATTCTCCCCTCAGTCGTCTTTTTTCTTTTTTCCATGGACTTTGAATCCTGTATAAGCTATGTTCCTAGTATTTACCTCCTAGCTTTGCAACATTAGTCCTTTACATGTTATGACCTCAAGCTCTTAGACTATGGGCAAGTTTTTTTTTTTTTTTTTTACTTTAAAGTATTTTCCTTCCTAATATCTCTTTTGCTCTTTCATCACCAGCCTCACCTATCTAATAAGGCTGGAAAAAATAACATTGCAACATCTTTTATACCATAAGTAAATCATCTTTACTTACCGGTTGTATATTACGTAGTAGCTATTTACTTGGTGGTAAAAATGTATGGAGGGTATAGTTTTTTCCTTGGTTAGAATTATTCTCGTGTACTGATGTTTTACCTGTGCTGATTTTTCTCATAGTTCTCTATTTACCCGACAGTGCTAACTCTGTGCAAGGTATGTTAGTGCTTTCCTTTACCTTCTATCTGTATTCTGATAGTGAATCATTTGCTTGTATTCTCTTTGTTATGGCTGAATTTTTGTGCCTTGTAATTCCCTTTTTCTGATTTGTTCATAATCTTTGCTCGAGCCCTGCTGCTTATTCTATAAATTTGTTCTTTGTTAATTAGTGTTTGTTCTTCAACTTCTCAATATATAACTGCCTATGTTCTCTCTTTGTTTTGGTCATACGTAGCAGTTACTGATGGTTAACATTAGAGATAAACTGAATAATAACTAGTAATTGGCTATTAGCTATGAGTTTTGGCCTTTTCGTTGTTCCTTTATTTATTTTTTACTTAGATTCATCTCTAGCAGTTTTGTTGACTGCTTAGAGTTGCATGATTTGCCTGCTGCTTCCCCGTATCAAGTCAATATATGCTTCCCGTCATTTACTTTTAGGACAATTAAGTTACTATCCATTTTCTACTTCTTATCAATTTTTGCTGTATTTTGGTGTTTCAATTCAATATATTCATTTTTGTTGCAACTTGGTTTTTTAAGAAAAGTCAATTTTTGTCATGGTGTGTTTAGTAAATAGCTATTTTGCTATAGTATTTGTTTAGATTTGAACTATCCTTGTATATTGGTTTTTGACATGTGGTGTTTCTCCTTTGTCAACTTTCTCTTTGTTGCAGGGCTTGCAAATCCTATTCGAGGTGTGGTTGTTATCTCTTCTTCACCTAATATAGCAATCACAAGTTTCCTTTTTTCATTGCTGCTTGGTATTCCTTCCTTGTGCCTTTTACTTTCTTTTAGCCAGTTTGTTTTCTTAGCCTTGGCCTCAATTTTCTGAATTTATTTGTATATTCTTACTGCCTGATAATTGGTGTATACTCTAAAGCCATTTATGTTTTGGCTATGTTTTGCTGACTAATGTTCCAGAAAATTTGGTGGCTGTTGGTTATTGGCTATTGACCTCTAATTGTAGCCTGTTTTTAATTACTTTGATTTAAACTGCTTCCTGTGATGGTTGTGTGGCAGCTTTTTTTCTACACTTACATGCAATGATATGGCATCTCTAACTCTCATCCAGAACACATCACATATACACACTACTTGTGTTTATATAAGCACCTCAGAAGTCAGAAGAACACTTGGCTTCCCAAAGCTAAAAGCAAACAAAATGCTACTGTACGCGCGTGAATCTCAAATACAAACTTCTGGTACCGTGTCACTTTGCTACACAAATTTTGCAGAGCAAATCCTACTCGACAAAATTATTCACGTGAAATGCACACAAGTGTTTGCTTTCGAACTTATGTGCCTGCGTAAGCTAATCAAGGACCAATTTCCACTGTTTCATTTATTTGGAAAAAAGATATGCATGAATAACATATAATTTAAGCTCCTGTCTTAATGCTTATTTTTAGATCACCTCAAATTTTTTGCCTCAATTTAGAATTTAATTTGATTGGGATTGTGGTTCTTGATACTTTTACCAATTGTTATGTTATAGAAGCAAAAAAATAAGAGATATAAAAAAAATGAAGTTATCTTTAGTTTTACATATTCTTAATAATTCTCTACCATTTATTCTGAATTCTCTTGTAAATAGTTTTCTTTCTTTTATGCTTTAAATCATATATACTTTACGCTTATAATAATTAGCCATACTAAACTAACTTCCATCATATATAACAAATAATATAAAACAAGTACAGATTACAATGGTAATATAAGAAATCAAATTTATATTAAAAAACATGCAAAGATTAATCCAAAACTTTTTGTCTTTTTTAGATTTAGATTCTTATTTTTCCACCCAACTAAATCCTCATTGTGACAACCCCACCTCCCCCTAAGGCGAATCAAATGGTTCGGCAGACCGCCTACTCAACTCTCGCCGAGACTCACTACAAACCTTAAATGAAAAACAGACTAATTCCAATGATTACATCTAAATATGCCAAAATAATAACACGTTTACAATATTTCATTGCACAAGTACATTCAAGGATACAAATCTCAAGTCAACTACATCGAGTTTCAAATCTTACAATTTCCCAAAGATCAGTTAAAAAATATCAAACTATACAAAAGACTAGCCTTCACTAGTATTTTCTAATCACTTCCTTCACGTCACTCTCCTGTTAAGGAATAACAAATGGAATGGGATGAGCTAACGCTCAGTGAGGCCAAGAAAAAGCAGGCAAACAAATAAGTACAACTAGCATTAAAGTTTATACAAAAAGACAGCCATGATATTCATATAACTCACAAAGGAAAACAAAACACGCACAGTGTGGCGATACTACTCGAGTATGTTTTCCATGGATCACCAAGCTTTTCGACCAAACCCTTGCCGGCTCGAATTACACGGTTGGCCAATGGGTTGGGGTGCTCTCCAGAAGTATAATTGGTCGATGAGACATCGCTCTAATCGATTTAAAATTATTTATAGTTTTGAGTTAACATGAGAGGTACCTCCCACCCGAATTGGTGTGGCACATACTATCGCTTAGAGAACTAGATCGATGAAACATCGTTCCAATCGACTTAAAATTGTTTATAGTTCTGAGTCGACATGAGAGGTACCTCTCATCCAAATTGGTGTAGTAGCTTAGAGAACTGGGTCGATGAGACATCGCTCCTATCGACTTAAAATTGTTTATAGTTCTGAATCGACATGAGAGGTACCTCCCACTCGAATTGGTGTGGTACATGCTATCGTTTAGAGAATCGATTATAGCACTAAAACGATATGAGAGGCATCTCCTACCCGAACAGGGTGTGGCACATGCATCCGCTCAGAGCTCACAAGTTAAACATATTCATGTACAAATACCAATCATATGTATTCATGTAATAAGTATCACGTAATTACAAGAGAGAGAGGACGAGGGCGATAAAATACACTCTCGCCTCGGCAAGTTTACGTATCATGTATAACATTTGTACAATTAATATTTCAATCACATAAGCATTTAACATGCACTTGACACTCACCACTAGCCAAGGGCAAAACAAGAGTGGAGCGAGAAGCCAAAAGAACTCTTCGAAGTTCTCGTGAACACCTAAGACATATACAATTATAGTTACCTAGGTGCTTGACCAAGGTTAAAAGAAAAAAACATTTTCTCACTACTCACTCTCAAGGTCACAAGTTCGAGCTAAATTAATGAAGGTTTTCTAGCTAAATCGTTAAAATAATGCTCAAGAAAGCTCGAAGGTGGTTTTTGATTCAAGTCGTGTAAGTAATCTCATATCCAAGAGAAAGTACCATTTTCACTTTCAGTATGAAAATTGAAGAAAAGGGTAAATGATTTTCATTTTCCAAAACTTTAAGTCTCATGTCCAAACCCAAAAAAAACAAGGAGTGTGCACATTATCCAAACTAATGGAGTTAAAACTCATTTAAAACTCCACTCATTTTCATAGAAAAATATCAAAGTTAAGGTTCAACTTTGAAACTAGTGAAATTCACCAAGAATTACTCTAGTCGAAAAGCTCCCTTTTTTTTTGGTTTCAAACTCATGGAAATTGAGGCCATAAGAATAGGGTTGAAGTCTATAATTCCAGTATGAAGAGAAGTGTTATAAACAAGCGAAGTTATAGAGTCAAGAAGAATCACAAAAAGGAGATTAATCCTTTGGAAACTAAGATTCGAAATGGAGTTTAAATTTCAAAGAGACCTCATATTAAACTGTGAAACTATACTTAAAACAGTCCAACAATTGCAAAGGAAGGTGGAAAATTCTTAAAAGAGCAATTTGGTTGAAAACAGAAAATTTCTAGTTTAGAGTGACACTACTTGGAAATATCGTATCTAGAGTTCCTTAAGTCCAAAATTGAAAGCTTTATACCGTTGGAAACTGGGTTCAAAGTACTAAAAATTCCTAGAAGACACTTTTCCAAGATTCTAAACGAAAAGCATTCATTTTTCAGCCCAAATTCGCTGATTTAAACAAGCAAGACCGAACCAGTCTTGGTATTCAGCGATATTTGAAAATTCGGTAAAATTCATAGAAAGTGAATCAGTCTTTAAAATTCATAACACAATAATAGTTTCAAACAAAGTTTCAAACACAATAAATGGAACTAAATTTGGAGTTTTGAGCATCAAGATATAACAGTTCAAAGTCAACTAAATCTTGCAAACTGATCAGTGAATTTCCAGATTTGAAGAGCAATCTTTGGGGCATTATTTGGATACCGAAATGGCATTGAAATTACACCAAATTTGGTACACTTAAACTTGCATATGGAGACTACCTATCTATCAAATTACAGGCAAAAAATCACGTGGGAAGGCAGTTAACAAAATGACTAAAATTCATGAAAATTTCAAAGAAAATCTGCCAACCCACTCTTTTTTTCTTTCCAAAGGCTTTTGTCCAATGAAATCAATCCCAATTCACTTCATTTTTAAAACCAAGGTTCCAGAAACATTTGATAAGCATTTTATGGTTAAATGACACTAAAATTTTCGAAATACCTCCCAAAACAGGTTAGACCATTCAGCCAACAAGGAAGGAAAAACTTCCAGTTACCCAGCTTTGTAGCATTTTCGAAATCAAGTCATATATAACCCTATACAAACTCAAATTGAGAATGGTTCACGGCGTTTGAAACTAGGTTCAAAATGCTACAATTTATCAGAAAAGTAGTTTCCAAAATCAGTTCACAAGTGAGAGAAAATCAAGCCACAAGATGCAGCTTCTCCATTCCTCTCGGACAGACAGTCACAACAGGACAGTCAACTTTGCAGGATCACTAGGGTTCACTCAGTTCGAAATAGCAAGTGATTTTTATACTGTTAGAAAGTTATGAATGTCAAGTTTCAAATGCTGCTAACGGCACTCAATTTCGAATTTTGTACAGAGAGTTATGTTCAAACAAAGAGCACTATCCGAGAACCCCAGCTATACGTTTTCCAGATTTGATTCTTGCCAAAGCTCAAGTTTTATGCAACCAAATGAACAATTTTTGGAAAGCACTTTGTACCCACAATATGCAACATATATCCATCAATTTCATAGCCAACCAAGCATCAAAATTTCGAAATAAAAAGTGAACAACATGACCAGAATTTTCGGCCATCACACTAACCAAATTTTTCCAACTTTATCTCCATTTCCTAACCGTAATCCTTTCATTCATCACACAAATAACATTAACCAAGCAACATATCCTCAAGGAAGCTACCTACAAGCCTTTTCAAGACCACTAGCCTAGAGATTAAAGCAAAGTAAATGGTTTTCTCAAGTCCTCTAACCTATTTTGTTGCTTAGGGTTGTAAACCCATGAAAATTAACCTTCATTCTTGAAGAAATTGGAAAGATCAAAGGAGATGAAAGTTACCTCTTCAAACCCTAGATGAAACTAGAATTTTTCCACCAAAAACTCTCCAAGAAAGTCCACAAGATACTTCTTGCTCCAAGATAAAACTAATCTCCAAAGTGTTTGGAAGTTGGATGGTGAATTGCAAGTGAAATGGAACCAAAAGAGTTGAGTTTTCTTCCTCCCCTTTTTCTTCTTGTTTCAGCCGACCTAAGAGAGGAGAGAGATGAGTGTTTGTTGTGTGAATCTTGTCTAGGAAGATTGGAGGGAAAAAGAAATAAAAAGGGTTGCCAAAGTCAACTTTGAATAGTTGTCGAATAGTGTTTCGTACTATCACTTTTCTCTCTTGTTTGTTGCATTAGTGCACTAATTCTCCAATGTAATTCCTTTAACACTGTAATTACTCACTCTTACGAGTCTAGTATTAATTTCTCAAATCCCCACTTAGTCGTTCCGACGCGAAATATCCGAACTTTCGACTCGCTCCGTGCGGTAAAAGCTTAATTTGGACTCACTCACCTCTAATCTTTCAATTAACTTTTCTTAGTCTACTATTGATCATTCTTAATTCTCCAAGATTATTGCACACCCAGA